GACAGAAAGATCACCAGGAAATCCTGTTTCACAATATTTGATTATCAATATTTGTCTTGGAAAATTTGTGCTTATAGTCACCAATTTTGATTTTGGTCCTTATGATTTAACATTCACATAATTGAACTTGTGCACATGTGATTCCCATGCTAGTGAATCTTCAAAGGTTCAATGAACTATTACTTGTTAAACCATTTAATTACAGGTGAAATTTGCACTATTTTGAAGGCAATATATAGCCTGTTTGGCCAAGCTTCTCCACGGCCAAAAACACTTTTTTTTCAAGAAAAAGTGCTTTTTTGAAAGTTGAAATGTTTGGTCAAGCTTTAAAAAAAAAAAAAGGTGCTTTTGAGTAGAAAAAGTAGTTTTGGAGAAACAAAAAAAAGTAGTTCTCCCAATAATACTTTTGAGAAAAATACACTTAAAATCACTTTTTAGAAACTTTGTCAAACTCTAATGGCTGCTTAGAAGTACTTTTTCAATTAATTAGCCAAACACAAACTATTTCTCGCCAAAAGTAGTTTAGAAAAAAGCGCTTTTAAGAAAAAACACTAATCATAATAAGCTGAGTTTAGAAGTTTGGCCAAACATGCTAATAGTCTTAAATGATAGTCTAGATATAACATATTTCTCATATAACGGGAACAAATATGCACAATTTTGATTAATTGAAGGTTAAATATTTTAGCCTAATATCAACAAAGGGGATAATTTATGTATACCTTGTTCACCATCAAAGCTCTTGTAGGTAAGAGTAAGATGACTATCTGCTTGATAATCTTCCACTGTCCATATCACATCACTGAATCCTTTGCTTCCCCCTGATTTAAAACGAATATGTTTATCTTAATCAAGTGAAAAAAAAACATTAAAATGGAGAACTTTTACAACAAAAAGGCTGATAACTAAATACCATGGAGTGTGTTTCCATGATCATTAGCTGGTAATTTGTATTCGACTCCATTCAACTCAAATTTTGCTCCTCCAATCCGATTCGCTACGCGCCCAATAAGGCCGCCAAAGTATGTGGTGTCGTTCTACAAATACATTAAATAAATAACCTTAATCAACAATAAAAAATACAAAAATTCCAGATCTTTCACAAAATTCTGAGAGATTTGGCCTCATAAAAACATTATGAAAAAAGGGATCACAGAAACTAACCTTGTAGTCATCGATGGAGTTGTACCCAAGAACAACATCATCCAATTTTCCTTAAAAACAAAAAACAAAAAATGGGTGTTACAAACAAAAAGATATGAACTTGACAGTCATATAAATGTAAGAATAAAACAGAGAAGTGGGGGAGAGAGGTATACCATTTTTATCAGGGAGTACGACAGAAAGAACTGTTGCACCATAGTTTGTGATCTTAACAGAAAAATCACCCTTCTTCAACTCGTACACTTTGATTTCTTCCTCTGCTCTACATATATTTCCAAGAATAAGAATGACAAGAGCAAAACAATAGAGAAGAGAGGTTTTGGCCATTGTTGATGGGGACGGAGAGAGATGAATCGAATATGAATTTGCGTTGGCTGGTTTATAAATAGTTGAACGTGAAGTTGTTAAATGACAAAAAATGGTGGAAATTTAATAAAAGATTTGGGAAATTCAGATAATCATGTTGATAAGGAAAGATATTTGAATAGTGTGGATAAGGACAAATATTCTAATAGAGACAGTAGTAAAGACGTATTAGGATTTTAGAGCAAGTGTGATGCCAGATTCTCCATTATTTTATGTAGTACTATTTGTTAGCTAAAATTATAAATAGCCAAAAGAATCTTTTTCTAACTGAAAATAAGTTGAGTAAAATCCTCACTTCTTAAAGCCACCATTATCCTATACTAAATAGGGATAGTATTATTTTTGGTCTCTCAATCATTGATAAATTATAATTTTGGTCCTTGTAAAATATGATAAAGTATACTTAACCTTCAAACTTATTAAAATATACGTTTTGCTCCATTTATATATGAAATATATTATGTTTAGACTATTGTTATAACTATATTATCCTCAAATACAGAGTAACGCGATACATTAATATAACACATGGATAGTCTGATGATGTAAGATTATATACCTCACCGAAGATTCACCAACAAAAGGATCAAAAGTGCATAGTTAACATGCTTTGCCAGATATCTAAAGGATCAAATTCAAAATTTGTCGATTTAAAGTGCAAATTTCCCCACTAATAAATACTATACTTGGTACATTTGAAGAAAATATTTAACATATATCTTTTCTTGATGGAGCAGGGGTTCATAAAATCGATACAGAAAAAAAGATATATACTTTGAAATAACTAAAATTATGCACTCTTTAATTTTTCTAAGATGTGATAAAAGTTGTAGTGATGATCTACTACACAATGCTATATATAAATATTCTTTCATTTAGTTTAGGCTCAGTCCATAATGGTTTTGCTATTTCTTTTCAAATATAGGAGATTTGAAATGAACATTAACAGAAAGATAAGATGAAATATCTTTCTTTTTCCTTTCTTTTCTAGTAGGTGGAGACCATTCTTGTCGATTAATTCCAAGCACGAGCTCTGACTTCTTTTACACTATGCAATTTAATTTTTCCACTTTTTAAATATTTTCCAAAATGTGGGACAGAAGTCAATAGGAGACAGGATTAAGATAAGTCAAGGGTATAGCAGATGGCTATTATACTTGTAAGATTCCAAATAGTATCCTTTTTCAACTCAACTTCATATACTTCTTTTCTTAATTTCAAGAAAACCTTGTAATATAATATAACTTTTAAGTAGAGCTGTCAATATGGGCTTGGCCCGTTGGGTCAGCCCAGCTTAACCCGTGATTTAGCAGAGCTGGGCTAGAATTTTTGGAGCCGCTTAAAAAAGAGGCTTTTAAGCCCGACCCGAGTAAGCCCGTGGCCCGTGAGACTTGACTGAGGCTGGCCGGGTCGGCCCGTGGACCTAATAAAATATTTATTTAAAATCTATAAAAAATAAAAAGTATACTGCCTTTAGAGATGGAAAGTCAGAATTGGATCTTGACTAAGAGGAACCAAAACGTGATCTTGAGAAGTTTCAAGAGATGATGTTGTCATGTATTGGAAGGACCATTCTAGAAAACATCTCGATCTTTCAATGATGGTGCGCGATGTACTTAGCATTCTTATTACCATTGTACCATCGGAATCAACATTTAGCATTGGTGGCGTGTTCTTACAAAGTACAGAAGTTGCATTTATTATGAAAATGTCCAAACACTTGTTACTACTTGAAATTGGCTGCACAGGTTTTCACATATTATTTTTTTATGTGAATTTAAATATTATTAATTTTTAAAATGTAATTATTTTTAATATGTAACTAATTAATATTGCATATGAATTTTAGATGAAAGTGAAGATGTTAAGATAACTTTGTCACAAGCGGATTCAAATGTGTTTGATGAAAATGATGTGTTGGATATCTCATAAGCATCATGAACGTTCTCTTGAATAGTTTGTTTTAAGTTTTGACTTTTAGTGAATGAAATATAGTCCTGTCTTTTACTTTTTTTTAGTATTTATTGTGATATATTGGAACAATATAAAAAGTTATTAAATTTTGCAAATTCTTTCCAATAAGATATTTTTTAACTTTTAAATAATTATCTTTTTTTAGGTCAGAACTTAAAGAAAAAATATAAAATTATATTTTTAAAAATGATGGGCCGGTCCGTGGGGGCCTGCGGCTCACATAGGGCTGGGGTGAGCTGACCATTATAAGGCCCATCAAAATGGTGGGCTAGCCCAGCCCAGCCCGTCAATTGCTAAAGCTTACGTGGGCCGGGCTAGCCCGGCCCGACCCATATTGACAGCTCTACTTTTAAGACGTGGTAGATATACTATTCAATCCTTCAAATATTCTTTTAACATTTTTTTCTCGGGATATTATCACTTTTAGCATGCGCCAGAAACTATTTACATCTGAAAGTGTATAAAATTTGTATAATTTTTGTATATAACATACAAAATTTATATATATACAAAAAAATACAATTTTTATACTCGGCTATTATTTTTACCACGGTTATACAGTGTCATTTTTCCTTTTTTTTCTCAACTTATCTGTTTGGACTTGTCCGTCACATTAACTAAACCTTCAATTTAATGGCGGTAGTGAAGGTACTCAACCACTTTAAATTCTTTTTTTTTTTTTTTTGGAAATTTGAAATGATAACGGATATAAATATAAGAGCATTTTCAAGCGTCAAACTGAGTTGCCATTTGTTCAGATGATGTGAATATTAAATAGAATATATAATTTTAACGTAGATGTTCAAATTGAAAGGAGAAATAGCTTGTCAATTAAGGCAGCAGGAGCTCTAACCTTTTATACATTATTTAATCTACTTTTTTCCCTTCTTTTTAACTTGTAATTTACAAAGTATTAGTTCTATCACGAGTTTCACTCAGTTCTCCTCTTATGCAAAAAATCCTTAATATCTCTAATCTATTTCTTTATTTATTTTCCACAAGTAGTTCTGTTAAACGACACAAGTATCTTGTGTTACTTCAACCATTCAAATAAGAACTACGAATTCAATTAATAAGTGTGCCTTTACATAGAAAAACTACCACCCATGTATTGACCTTTC